GTAGGCTGAACCTGTTGTGCAAAAGCCGTAGTGTTTCACATCCATTGGCATTGTAGCGGTTTTGTCTAACCACTGTAGCTGCTGCTCCTTGGCAGATGTTGATGAGGATGTAGTGTAGATCTCGTGAGAGGTCTACTGCTTTTGCTGCCTGTGTAGGGTCGCGTATGTGGGCTCTGATGTCTGCATCTTCAATTTGTCTTGTAGCTGCTTGTGCTAGTTGTAGCACCATGTCGAAGTCTCGGTCGATAAGTCCGAGATATGCTTGTAGTTTGAACAGCCACTCTTCATACTGTGAGTAGTCACCAGTGAAGAACGGTGGTGGCAGTTTGTATTTGTGTAGCCTTTGGACGTCTTCCTGCTCCTGTGTTGTTCCCGTAGTTGTGGCTCCTATTGTCTCTTCTGCTGTGGGCCCGTTGTCTGCTCCTGTAGTTGGTTGTGCTGATGCTGCTGCTGGTTCTCCTGACATGTCGTAGTAGTTGGGCATGTTGGTTGCCTGTGCAGTTGTAGTACTTACTGCTGTTACTGGAGCTCCCCTATGTTTAGGATCTCAGCTCCGCTACCACGTTAAAATTAGTCGATACTTTACTACAAGTGCAAGTGTTGTTTCTGTTGTCACAAACACAAATGTAGTTTCCCAGCATGCGCTCTTTTGCTTGTAGACTCAAGGCCTGCGGTCGAGTAGTGAACATCATGCATGTACAAAGGACAAGTAGTACAGCATGGTATTTGACAAGAAAGAGAGAGAGAGAGAGAGAGAGAGAGAGAGAGAGAGAGAGAAAGAAAGAGAGTGGCCGCGAATTCACCATCCCAGTCTTCACAGAGGCAGAGGCCCAAATGCATGCCAGGAGCCCAAAGTGAAGGAGGAAGCCAGAGAGGAGCAGCATTTCTCGCAATTTTGGACACGAGGCATGCCTGGCAGGTAGGCTCCGGAATGTCCTTGCTGGTTGCCAAAGCGCTTAAAACTGGAGTTCACTAGATCCTCAGGCTTGGGAATGTTGGTTGCCTCTTTGCGGCAAGGAGGAAAAGCCTGAGTAGTGTGTGCGACGGCCTTCAGCAGGCCCAACAAAGCGGTGTATGCCGGCGCACAGGCAAATTGTGACTATCTCGTGCCGTAGCGTGCCATATTGCTGTGGCGGTGTCCTTTCACATCCATGAATCTATCCAAATTATTTCGCAGAACAACACACAATCTTCTCCCATTCGTTTCATTTTGAGGAAATGTTGGCCATGTTTGGAGCAGGCAGAATGCATGCCTTGCCTGCCGTGGGACAATATCCCTCATGAGATTGGGCCAAAATATCCAAAGGTCAGGTCGATTTGAGGAGCATAAGTGACTTGCCAAATTTTCCCAACGACCAGGGACTCTCTAGTGTATATTTAGAACGCGGCTCGTGTGGAATGCAATTTCTCAGCCGCAGGGCTCAAAAGCAGCCATGCAAAGTGCAGGATGGACACGCAAGCATTTAAATATTTCCAGGCACTCAAATAATTCAAAACACTCAAAGAAATCGAACAAACAAATCACTCCGAGGAAATCAAAGCTTCGAACATTTCAACGCACTCAAAACCTTCAGAGCACTCGAAGCATTCAGTCAAAGATTCAGAGCACGGAAGCTTGTTAAGTTTTCACATTTTCTCTGTGCGTTCGACCTGCGGAGCTTGGAAGCTGCAATGGATGCGCTTGATCGCATTCTAACAGACTGGCAGCGCTGCAAGCCCCTCGGCTCAACGTTCGAGTCCCCCACTTTCCACTCGCGTGAATGAAATTTGATGTCTAGCTTGCGTAGGCCGCGGGGCGCAGTGATCCCAGTGGAGGGACTGGCAAAGGTGCGATGCTTCCGGCCGAGAGTCGATCGAGAGTTCTTGTCACTGAAATCAGTATCCGGATCGTCAGCCGCCCGCAGCTCCGGAACCTCACCCCAAACGCGCACACTGTCTGATCCCCAGCGGCAACGCCGACACCTGGGGCGCTTTGGGGCAACGGGCCAGACGGGGATCTTGCAACGCCTTGTGCTAGGAGCTGGTGGAATCAGGTGCCGCTGCTCAGAGCACTTGCAAAGCGCAGCAGTCCCGCAAAATTGCACCCCTATATATATATAATATGTATAGATATATACACGTGTGTGTGTGATTTGCTTGTGCCTTTGTTTCTGTTTTATACCCGTTGTGGGATGAGCCTCCCCAAACATGCAGTGAACATTCAGTCTTGCAGGTGAGACAAGCGATGCTGGCGAGGGCGTTGTGCCCTTCCTGCTTTTCTGGAAGGCACGCGCAGCACTCCGATGCCAAGAGCCATCATGGAGTTGTTTGGAGCGAAGCTCCCATTGGGGGTGATTTTGGCCAAGCATCCTCTAGGAGCTCACATTTGCCTGTTCAGCTTTTCGAGGTGCCTGACACTCAATGCCGATGCAGGTGATGCAGCTCCTCGCATTTCGGATATTCATCTCCAGCCCAAGCATGTATCGGAAGTTGCCAATCCGCAATTCAAAGATTTGTTTTGTCCCTCAAAGCTCACCTGGGAGTGTATGGTAGGCTAGCAGGGGCGAGCCTTCCGGCTTCAACAGTACACCCCTTGCCCCTTGCGCAGGTCTTGGAAGAGCGCGACGCAGCGGTAGACGAGGTTTTCCTCCCGCGTCCCAAGCGGTTCATGGTGTCGTGTTCGATGCAGGCGCCCATGGCGGCCGAGCTGCGGGGCCTCCGCCAAGCGCTGCTGGGTCGCCTGGACCGGACTATGCTCGGACGGCGATGGGCGAATCGCATGATTTGTCCAGTGCCGGTGCTCGACAGGAAAGGTAAAGAATGAACAGAAAAGTGATGCATCAAATATGAAGCTGATGTGCAGGATCGCAATGGCGGGACCGTTTCCAGCAACTTCTTGCTGGAGGCGGAATGCGAGAGTCTCAAGCTTGACACGGCCGGAAATGAAGGGGGCGTGAAGGGGGCTTGGCAAATGAGTTGGGAGGCGGTTCGCAGAGCGCATCGCAAATCGGCAGATCCAACCGCATGGCGGCCACTCAAGGAGGGTGAGACACTTGCCCGTGTCATGGAGAAAGCGACGCTTACCCAGGAGGTGGTTGCCAACGTCGCTGCTGCGGAGACCTCCACAGCTGGGTGGTGGGGACAGCACAGCATGGCCCTCGGAATCTGCACATTTCAGGAATCTTTCGTTTTGACAGAGTTTCGTGTGACGCGTGCGGACAGCTCATATTGAGACCTTAGGCTTAAAGCTGGCCCCAGATGAGCTTTCCTCGCTGCTGCTACCCTGGCTGCAGGAAGGGCTGCGCAGCGTAGTGCGCGAGAGATGAATGCGCAGACAGCAGTCCAGGAGCTTGTCGAGGACTATTGCCGCGGCAGCCGCAGTGCAAAGATTTTCTGCGTGAAGGCAAGAGCACACACGCTGGAGTCCAGATTTCATGGATGAGCCAACAGAGTTGCCCATGAGAAGCGATAAGCCTTCACTGTTCCTGTCATCACAGTGTCAGAAAGCTGTTATGTGACATGCATTTGACCCAGCGCCAGGATGTGGCAGGTGTCCGTGTTCGGGATGCCTGTCTCCACCTGTGCCGCAACGAATGGGACGGGAGAGCTGTTGACATCGTTCAGCTCTGGATAACCTGCACACTTGACAAGCCTTGCTTTCATTGCAGGATGTAGAAGCCGCTTTGCAGAGCTTTTTCGATGCATCAAAGAAAGTTGGCAAAGAGGCGGCCATGTCCAGGTTGTTATATTGACGAAAGCTCTCCCAGGCACTCAGCTGGAGCTCCGGTGGTGCCAAGCTGCTGGGCCAAAGCAGTTCCCATGGCATCGGATGCATCGATCGGATGGCAATTCGAGGCTCAGACAAAATGAGCGGGACTGCCCCATTTGCGTGGAGAAATACTCCACAGGCAAGTGCTTTCATGCCTTCCATGCCCTTCCATGCCTTCCGGCTTCCTCTTTGTGTCTCCGGCAAGGCAACAAGTCCATCATGACGAAGTGCTGCTTTCAAGTTCTTTGCGAGAGGTGCCATCAGAGACTCACGGACTCGACAGGCGCGAGTGCTTTGGCCAGTTGGCCACTTGAGACCCGACTGGCAACAGTCGCCTGCGGCCACACCAATGACACTGGCAATAGCCCTGGCAAAAGACCCCCAGTCGAGAAGAGCACTTGAGAGTTGAATAGGGTAGGTGTGATGCAACCGTGTTAATGCCGTGAATGCAGTTCTCAAGATTTTGCTGCCAGGCCGCCTCTCTTGTCCTTTCTGCCGCGGTGCCGATGGTTTGCAGAGGGTGGACTTCGATTTCGAGGAGCTTCGCTCGAGCGGACTCCAACGTACCCCAACCATGCAAAGATCCAAATGAAAGCTAATGGCTCGCGAAAGAAGTGTTGGAAATCATGTTACATGTTTGCAGGAGGCTCCGAGGCCCAGCCGTCGGTGGCTGACGCGGAGGGTCCGATGCTTTTGAATCAGCCCTTTGGATTGGAACGCCATGTGACCAAGGTGGAGCTTCCACCAGGATCCGCACTGAGCAGTTCAATGTGTAGGCCATGAGTAAAGCCCACTTGAGATGCAAGTCGATCCCCTCCTCGATGAAAGGTGAGCACACCTCTCTCAGCTTCCGCGCCTGAGGCTGGCGTCGTGTCGGCAGCAGCTTAAGACAGCTGGCACCCACCTGCCGCAGCCTCACAAACTCCGGGCACAATGGGCACGGAGCGGCAGAAGCGTTACATTTCTTGTTTCGGCGTAGTTCGGATGACTCCAACATGCTGAATGGATGGATAACTGGCTTTGTTCACCGCTTCTTTTGCGGTCAATCTCTGGCCTGTATTGCTTCTGTGTTGTCCTCGGCAAGCCGAGGCCTTTTGTGCGTTGCCGTGGTAGCCTGCAATGTATGCTGCGTCACCTGAAAATAGTCGATGTGCAAGGGGTTGTGCATGGTTGTTTGAGGACATCTAGATGCAAGGGCTGTGGGGGGGCAACTTGATTCCAAGTTTCAAGTGCCTTGCTTGTTCGAAGGTTGCAAGGTTAGAAGGGCTATGCGAACGCCGCGCTATGCGAACGTAGCGTGATGCCGCCTAAGCGGGAGGGCAAGGCCAAAGCTGGCCCTGGCGCCAAAGCGCGCGCCAGGCCGGGCTTGGGTCGGCCACCCGGGAGCGCCTTCTTTGGGTGAAATTGAAAGGCGACGTCAACGTTCTTTTTTGATGACACTGCCAGTTGGGAGGTCTGCGAGAGCTGCAAGCCCCGAGCCCAAAGTTGAGCCCAAGGATGCGACACCAAGGACGGGGGTCGAGATGCTACAAGAATTTCACTGAATCTGACGCCAGGTCAAAGCGCGAGCCCGCTATGGCCTTGGGTATGGCTCGATGCAACTCGAAAATCCTGGCAGTTGCCCAGAAGTTTTGGACACAGCGCTGAGAGTCCAAGGCCAAAGAGCGTGTGCCAACCTGGCGCAACAAGACGGTGCAAGGCGCGGGTGAACTCTGCGGCTTGCGCGGCTTGCCAGTGGAATACAGCGAGGCCTCTTCTGCGATCCATACATCGGGGCCACCAGCTTGGAAGGTGGCAAGCCTTCACAGGCGAGAGCCCACAGTGATATCCCACTTAGTCACTTGCAACCAAAGTGACCTTACAGGTGCTGAGTCCCGGCCCCAGCCGGCATGCCCTCGCGAGTGAGCTCCATGTGTTTGAGGCCGTACATTCCTTAGGTCCTTGCACTGTGCCGGCCAAGGCGACGTTGTGGAGATGGGCGCAAAGCTTCTGGCAAGTCGGGCCACGTGGCCGTTGCCCTTGGCCGACTCAGAGGTGGATGCCTTCCGCCGCAGCCCGAGATCTGTGTATCGGTCCAGGCCTTCAAGCGGCCTTTCTTATTTCACAATGCTCAAGACATTGTCAGCCGGGCAAATGGGCAGCGTGAGCCAACGCTAATTCCGGCTCTTCAAATGTGAAGCATGGAGAATGCCTTTCTCGAGTCATGGACTGGAGCCGATCGAGCCAAGGTGAGTCGCTACAACTGCTGAAGGAAGCCCATGACCGTGGCCAAGAAGGGCAAGCAGCTTTCGCTAGCCCAGAGGCCTGCGAATTGTTGCAACACATGACACCCGTATCGTGGGCATGGGCCGTGTTTCCGCTTATATCACGTGAAGGGCGGCATGAAGTGGTGCCAGAGAACGCTGTATCTTGGTCTCATAGGATTAGATATGACATGCTTCCACAGAAGCCAGGCTCTCAAAGCGAGGGGATAAGTCGCCTAAGGAAAGAGATCACCGCGCTGGAAGTGGGCAAGCGGTGGTTATCCGAGGGCGGCTGGCGCGGGGAGAATGGAGGTCATGCCATTATGCTGCTGAGCAGAGAATTGATTTGCGAATAGCAGATGTGCCTTGCAGTGCAGCGCAAGGTACATGATTCAGAAGAAATCAAAACGTGCCCTCTCCGCAGCTATCATGTCCTCAGCTTCACTTGACGAATTTGCGGTTCCAGGTGAGGTATCCTTCACGGTGTTGAACACCGGCGCAGGGATTCACTCGTTTCACAGCTGCGACGTGCAGTCGCTGCAGCTGGGCAAGGTGCGCTACCAAACGGGGTCCACGCCTTGGGTGTTTCGGTGTTTGCTTTGCTCGGACGGAATTTGCTGAGGCTTTGCTTGAGCCCAGTCCAGATGGATTGCCTAAATTTGGCATTCCTCTATACTTTGCTGCTCGGATCAACTTGCAATGCGCATGCATGGCAACGTGGCAGTTTCCAAGGTTCAGAATGTACTATGTGCGGCATCGCACACACAATAGTTTTCAGCTGTATGAAGTCCTTCTCCCAACTCTGAAGTCATCAGATGTGTCCCATTCCGGAGCTTGCTTTACCACCCCCCAGCGTGCCGGGACCTGCTATGCCAAATGTGTGTTCCTGGGTCTCCGCACGCTGCTGGCGGAGCTTGGCGTATCCTCTTCAGGTCGGCGCAGGTGCATGTTGAACTACCGCATTTGCTTCCTGGAGCGCATAGCCCAGGAATTGGATGAAGCGAGTCAGCCGAGCCTCACCAACAGCGACCGCATCACGCTGAGTGTGGCTCTGAAGCAGGTGGCAAGGCGCTGCGTCCGCGACCCCGAAGCTGCCAGCGCGCAGACCCGAACCCACGCTTGCATGCAGCGGATACAGGGGGCCGTGCGCCTGAAGATTCAAGACCCGTCGCTGGATCGAGCACTTTGCGCAGATGCCCTTCAGCATCAGAACCTTCGGCTCCAAGGCGCTGAGTTCCGCGGACTTCAAGGCTTTCAACTGCTGGCATTCCGTTCGCTGGTGCCACCAGATGTCCGCAACGCCTTTGCAGGTCCTTCAGCATCCAAAGTCTTAAACCCCCATGTGGACCTCACCGGTCTTGCCTCTGCCAGGGCTGTCGCTGGCGGACCCACGCTGGAATTTCTGCCGCAAGCGCTGCTGATGTGCGAGACTTGATTCTGTCAGATCTTGTCGGCTTGGTGCTGCAACACCCACAAATTTGAGAACCACTATGTTCACTTCCGGGAATCTGGGAAACACTGCGTCCTCTCACAGGGAAGACACTCATCGTTTCCCTTTCGGGGTACTGTGTTTCTCGCTTGAGGACCGGCTGGAGGAGGTGCAATGCTCGCGGGCCTCCAAGCACCTGATCATCGGAGTGGTGGAGACCTTGGTCTTCGAGGCTCGGGACCTGTGGGACCTCGTGAGCTCCGAGACCTCGGAGTCCTCGGAGTCCTCGGAGTCCTCGGGACCGTCTCTGAGTTTGGGCCGGGGCCGGGAGCTGCTGGGCGCGGCGCACCGCCTGGGAGCGCACTACGTGGCGGCGGTGCGCTCCGTGGGCGGGGGGCGCAGCACCGGCGCGCACGCGGTGCTGGTGCTGGCCGCGCTGCTGGAGCTCTTCGAGGACCTCCTCCGTGCCACGCCCGGCCTGGAGCTGAACCAGCTCCTGAACGAAGAACCAAAAGCCGAAGAAACGAGAGGAACGAGAGGAGCGAGAGGAGCGAGAGGAGCGAGAGGAAGAGCCAAAGGCGTGTGGTGGTCCCTACGTCCCTGGGAGAAGCCGGATGGGCCTGCACTCAGCTTCGCGGAGCTGACTGCCTGGTTGCCGATGCCATCACCTGCAGCTTGCGTCTTGGATATGAAAAATATGTTTGGCACCTCTCTTTCCCAAAGCAATTCCACTCAAGCCCCTCTCAAATATGCACCTATCAAACTAGCAGCAGTCATAAGATCGCAAGCAGCCTTGATGCCAGATCACGTTGACCTACATCCAAGTTTCTTGTGTATGCGGCTCAGATCGAATTGCTTTTGGTCCTGTTTCCCAACTCTGAAGGCGAAGTGCGGAGCAGGATTTGCAGGCGCCACGAGAATGACAAGCAGTCCTTGTGGGCAGGAGCACACGACACCTCCGCGCTGTTGGTTGGACCGCCTGAAAGCGAAGAAAGGTCGGAGGCCACGGGCGTCAGCAAGAACTTGTTGGACTTTTCCCGGAGGCTGCGGCGTCTCTGCCCGGGCAAGCCATCTCTGCCAGACGTGGACCGTCCATACCAAGACTGGGAAGTGGACCTCTCTGCTGCCTTCGACGAGCAGGTGGATGCAAAGTGCCCCGAGTGGGCGCAGGCCAGAGACTTGGCGCTCTTTTACCAAATGCTCCTGGCAAGCCTTCCGAGCCTCCCCAATTCCCTGGCTGGCGGAGCTGTGCCCCCAGCAGATCATGTCTTGATGGCCAGAGAAGCGGCAGAGCTCAGCTTCAAATTTGGGCTTTTCAACCCTCCGGAAAAGGTCATCGTGCATGTGGAGCATGTGTGCAGCCTCCCGCCTCGCCGAGTCAACAAGTTGTATCCGCATGCATCTTTGACACATCCCAAGCTGCTGTGCCAAGATATGAGCTACCTTCGATTTGGAGGAGCTATGGAGAATGAGCTGCTGTCCTTGAAAAGACTCCCTGACTTTGATAGTTCCCTGACACAGGCACAGGCAGAATCACTGCTTAGCATTCTGAGTTGCCCGGGCATCCGAATCCCTTTGCTGCTGCAGTTTGTGGTGCCCAACCACATCGCCTTGATGCACCATCGCCAGTTTCAAAGGATTTTCTTTGCGTGCTTGTTCGAGCCGGGGCTGTTCGACACCTCCAAGCCCTCGCTTGACGCGAAAGTCCCATCGCAGGAGCCCATGGGGACAGAGTTCGGCTGGTTGAGCGAGGAGTTGGCGACGAGTCCGCAGCTGGTATTGCCCTTGTTGAGCCAGCTCTTCGAAGCCATGAAAGACTTGGGCAACGGGGACTGCGACGGTCCACTCGTGCAGCCCTTCCTTTTCGTGGTGCATGTGGCGTTGTTGGTGCAGGACTTTATAGAGCAAGCCAAGTCAGAAAAGTCGGAGAGATCAGCGCGTGAGTGCCTGGAGGAGCACGCGCGGCTCTTCCGACGCTTCACCCAGAAGTTCGCGCGGAAGGTGATCGCCCGGTGGATCGGGCAGGCGAACTCCGCCAAAAGCTACGATCGTTTGATGCAGTGCCACGCGCACCTGGCGATGACCGCGTGGCCGGTGGCAGCTTTGGAAGACGGTGACGTGCAGAGTCTGGGCGTGGCAGCCTGCACGTTTAGCCTGTGGAGCGAGAAGCTGGGCGATGCCAATTCTGTGGAATACGCAGGGGACCAGGCGGACGTGATCCACCGGGTCTTCGCCACCCTGAGTCGGCAACGAGTGCCCTTGTTGAAAGCAGTGGAGAATGCCGAAGAGCAGGAGCGCAACAAGTTCTTCAGCTTCATTCTGGCAGGTGCCATCGGCACGGACCGGTTGCCAGAATTGTCTTGGCGCGCCACTGAGCAGATGCCCAAGGTCTGCATCCGCGTGGTGGAGACCAGCCATCCCATTTGCAAAGCCGACTTTAGCAGTCGCAAGGTGTGCCTTCCAAAGGCAGCGAGGATCATTGTGCGCTTCGACCCGCTGAGTCAGCTTGAGTCGGGAGATTTTCTCAAGGTGTACGCAGGCCAAAAGAAAGATGCCTCCAAGGTGGTGTGGATGGCCGGGCGCAGCGATGTGGCTAAAAATGGCTGGCCTGGAGTTGATGCTCCGGGTTTGGTCATCAACTCGGAGTGCTTTCTTGTCATCATGGAGCGTTTGATGCACGTCAGAGCCACTGAGGAAGAGGTGGCCTATGGATACCGTCTCATTGCTGAGGCGGAGATGCCTTCGAGTGCAGTGACTTCCATGCAGAAGCAGCTGAGCACAGCCTCTGCCTTCGTTTGCGCATCGATTCTGTCGGAGGTGGGTGGAGACGTCCAGGAGGCCGTGGAGCAGTACGGCCAGAAAGACGTCCGCCAGAAGTGGGAGGAGTTGGAGACGTTGAGTGAAGCCCGGAAGAGCAGCTTGGGGCTCCGCGTGGGTGGCTGCTTCTCCGCTCAAGCGCACGACCTGCAGGACGCTTGGCTCACGGGGGCGCGAGTAGACCTGGGTATGGCCAACATCAGTTTCGAGGCGCGGGAGACACTGCAACCCATGCCCGCGGACTGCTTCGAGGACTCGGTGGCCGGTTTGAATCGATGGTTGGCTGATGCTCCATTTGTTGTAGTCTTTGTTCCGCAGGTAGAAGTTGGAGCTATGATTTGGGTTCCCAGGAGCCAGATTACCGAGAGGCCTTGGGCGCAGAGCGGCCCAACGTGCTGCCCATCTCCAACTCCCTCTACGCCAAGAAGTTCAGCTTCAGATGCCACAGCCTCGAGTACACTGCTGAGATGTGGGTGCCGCCCTCAAGCGTCGAGTGGGTTGGAAGAACGTACGTCCGCTGCTTGCCAAGTGCTTGTCAACGCTTGCCTTTTTTTGCATAGGCGGCGCCTGAGTTCACCCTGGCTCTGGAGTACCAGGGCGGCATCAAGTTGGGCAAGGGCGACGCAGTGCCCTTTGTGTTTCATCCCAGCCGCTCTGGCTCTGGCGGCTCTGGCTCCGGCTCCTTCGTGCGGTGGCGGGAGCAGCAGTGGACGGAGCTGGCCTTGGCGGATGTGCCGGGCCACCTGCGCAGCCATGGCGCGGGCGCCGAGGTCCTCGCGGCGCTGCTCTCCACTCCTCCGGCGGACCCCACCTTGCTCAACGAGCCCGAGCCCCACTTCGCCCGCTTCGGCGACTGGTGGAAGCAGGCGCGCTGGTACGGCCGTGCCAGTGGTGCGGCCGGCTCGGTGCTCTTGTGCGAGGCCGGCTCCGGCGCCAGCGCTCGCTGGCTGGAGTTTGAGGCAGAGCCGGGAGGCGCTTTGGTGGCCTTCCAGATCCAGGAAAGAGAGAGAGAGAGGGTTAGTCCCCGGTGCGGAATGAGGAAGCGGCCGCACGCTGTCAACGGAGGGCGTGAGCACTGTTTTGCTTCGTTTTGTTCTACTTGTGCTATGTTTCAAGGCTGCTCACATGATCATGCAGCTGCACATCCTGGTTTGCCGACCACTGATGTACCGACGCCGATGGCGTGCATACGTCAAACGAGTCGTGTTTTCCCAGGAGCACGGCCGGTGCGCGGCGCGGGAGGCGGTGTGGACCTCGGACGCGCGGCGCTCGCTGCTGGGCTGCGACGTGGAGGGCCGCTTCGAAGTCTTCGCGGTGCCGGCGCCGTTGCAGCGCCAGGCAGGGGACCTGCGGCCGGGCGCCTACGGCCGGTCCCTGGTGCTCACCTCCGCCGCACCCCGACAAAAAACACAAATAGGAAACCACAAAACACAATACAAAACACGGACGTGCCTAGAGGGACCAAGATGGGCGAAGTGGGAAGTGTGGAAGAAACGACACGTCGTGTTGACATCCTTGGAGGTGAGAAGGAACACGTGCCCAACATATCCTTGTTGTGTATCGTGTCTACCTCACAAAACGAAAATGCATAAAGAGCAAAATGTAATTCGAGATCACAGGATGAACAAGAGGCATCCTGGTCTTGCATGGCTAAGGCAGGAACACACGTGCCGCAGCGCTTCTTGCGCGGACTCCTACCAGAGGTCCTATTGCCTCACTTTTGCTTTTGGCAAGTCTCAGAGGACCTCATCAATGGAAGGCCTGGTTCAAAAGGATCGCGAATTTTGCTTGCAATAGCGAGTCTACGAGTCTGCCTGCAGGCCTCAACATCGAAACAGTCGCTGGTTCGGCTACAGCCTACAGCTGCAGATTGCAGATGGCCGCGCCCGAGTCTTGCGTTTAGCCCTGGAGACAGAGGTGCTGCATGAACTGCAAGATGCTACGCGGCCCAGCTCTCCGCTGTTCAAGCTGGGGGAGTTCATGAGCACGGTGGAACCCCTGTCACATGTGCTGTTCTGGTCCAAGCACGGAGAAGACGGAGAACAGATGGCCTCGCCGTTGGAGCTGGTGGAGATGCCGCGGCTGCAGCTCCGCTTTCGTGTGCGTGAGGGGCCCGTGCTCGATGGGAAGGTGGTCTTTCAGCCCAAGCTCTACTGTGATGCTTATGGCGGACAATTCTTCGTGGACCCCACTCCATTCCATTTGTTGCTGCCCAACTGTCCTCACGCCCTGCCACCCCACTGCTTTCTACTACGTGCTGAGGCAGGCGATGCCAAGGTGTGGCCCCGACATGCCATGCGCTGTCAAATCAGGCTCTCAAAGTGAGTGGTTTCTGTGAGGGACCGACTGACCCATTGTCAGATGCATCAGATGCAACGTTTCCGCAGGTCGTAGCTCCCCTGGGCGAGGTGCGGAGGCCGAAAGGGCCTTGCGTGCTTGCCCAGTGCTTGCCCACTTGCACCTCGTTTCGGATTTCGGCTTTGACAGGCACAGAAGCTATCAAGAGCCCTTTGAGACGGCCGTGTATCTCAAAGTCTTCGGAGAGACGTTCTTCACCCCAACAGCCGTCTATGACTTGGCCCTGTCCACCGGGACAGACCTGAAGTGCCCCAGTCTGCTCTCGGCAATTTGGCTGCTGCTGTGCCGGCTGCTGCAGAGGGACTACGAGGGCGCAGTGAAGCTCGTGCCAATGGTGGCCTCCGCTGATGGCCAGTTGCGCCATGATGAGCAGCTCGTTTCCGCCTCAGGGCCGTGTCCTCCTCTGTTGGAGCCTCTAAAACAGAACGCATATCACTTCCCTGTTACTTGTTCATGTTGCATCGAGCTGCTTGGAGCCTGGACTCAAGTGCCTGGACTCAAGTGCCTGGTGCCTTTGAGGCCTTCCGCATGGCTTTGGAGGATACCTCCGACCGAGCCCCTGATGCTGTGGCTGTCCGGGCACCCAGCATCAACTCGGATCCAACAGATCTGTGTGTGCCTGCGTGCCGTACAGGGGCGTGTGGGCGTTTGCGTTCGCGTTCGCGTTCGCGTTCGCATTCGCGTTCGCGTTCGCGTTCGCGTTCGCGTGCGTGCGTGCGTGCGTGCGTGCGTGCGTGCGTGCGTGCGTGCGTGCGTGCGTGCGTGCGTGCGTGCGTGGTGTGGTGGGTGGGTGGGTGGGTGGGTGGGTGGGTGGGTGGGTGGGTGGGTGGGTGGGTGGGTGGGTGGGTGGGTGGGTGGGTGGGTGGGTGGGTGGGGTGGGTGTGTTGGTTGGGTTTGGTTTGGTTTGGTTTGGTTTGGCCATTGAATCTTGTGTTCGTTGGTGCGTGTTGTTGTATTCGATCGTGTGTTGTTTGTACGTTTTTTCTGGTTCTACGAATACAAAGCGACATTGCAACTCGGGATTGGCCTTGTGCCTTTGCAGCGGAACACTAAGGTGCGCCTGCGCCTGGTGCATGCTGCGCTGCGTACACAGAACATTAACATGGACTTGGCTCGGAGCGCCTTCGCAGATGCCGCGAGCTACATCTCACACCTGGCGCATGTCAGCCAGGGCTGCAGTCTTTCGTTGGCAGAGGAGATGGAGCTTTGGAGCAGCCTGTTGAACATGAGGAGCGCACTTTATAGGCAGAAGAGCCCAGGTTGAATGCTTGAGCGGTATGATTGCTAATCCTCAATCAAATACTGCTGTATTCCCAGGGTCGAGTTTGCTTCGACGCAGGAGCGACATGGAGTCAGCAAATCGCTTCATTGAATGGAGGCGTGACCTTTTGACTGCTCGCAAACAAGGGCTTTCAACGGCGACTCTGCAGTGGCACCGGCGAGATCCTGGAGCGTGGATTCACACTGTTCTTGACGACGAGGAGAAAATGGCATTCCAATCTTCACGGGTTTCAGACATCGACTGCATCGGAGCCTTGGCAAGTTTTGCTTGTTTTCTACCCAGTTTCGCATCCAGTTGCATTTTGCATGTCTGACTGCAGCACGCTTGGAGGAATCAAGAACGAGCCTCTGTTCGAGGCCGACTTGCCGCCTGAGAAGTTGTGGGTGGAACTCCTGGATGTAGTGCAGGGCAGCAACATGAAGGATGGAGTCTTCAGCACCTTGCTTCACATGTGGGAGCGAAACCACGCACCACAGATGCAGCGTCTGGCCACCAGGACGGCATTCTGCTTCTTGATGCTTGCGAGCAGAGCTCACCAGACTTGTTGCCAGTCAGGATTCTTCTCTTCTCGGTGGCCCGCCGCATGCTGAGCGTGAGTGGCTTCTGAAGTTTTCTGTCGTCAGCGTGACAAGAGCTGAGTGTTCGGTCGTCAGGCCTAGTGCATGGCGTTTGAGACGTGCGAGGCGACCACAAGAGCCTCGAGCGTCGCTTGGTGCTGGTCCTGTGCCTCTTGCAAAGCAGTCCTTCGAAGAGCCTGGAGCCCCCGAAGCTGAAAGACTTTCAAAAGCTGAGACCAGGTCAGAGCGCGGGACTCAGTCAGAGCGCAATGCCTTCGCATACACAATGAGCATAATGCATTCGCACACAATTAGGCAAGGAAAGGCGGGCCTGGGTGGATCAGCTGTGCCCTGTTCGCAAATGAAGCCTGTGCCGTACGCGTTGTGCGTACCGTGCTGTAAGTTTGGCTGCTTCCATGCCTGGCAATTGCCGACTAGGTTTGCCTGGGCCATCCAGCGACTCGAAGATCCCGTGGAAGAGATCCGCCACTTCTTGCCACTGGCACCACTGGGTGGTCCGGAGCTGAGTAGGCTGCGACGCGCAGCAAATGAGTCGCAGGTCGGACCACGTTCGTTTGAGTTCGCCTCAGGGCACAATACACCGAGGCAGTTCGGAAGTAAACTTGGCTGGCATGCTGCCACAAGCAGTGCCGCGAAGCGCTACAGAACCTGGGGTTGCATTAGCGCCATAAATTTCGAAGCAAGGCGTCCGGTTCATCCTTTTTGAAAGCTTTTTGGCAAAGGCGCACAACGCAGCAGGTTTCGGTTTTGTTTGCCAAGCCAGGTGGAGAAGGAACTCCAGCTTGGGTGCTGGTGACGAAAAGCTTCCTTTCACCTTCCGCCTGAGCGGAGCTGGAAGGGAAGGATATGGCCGTAGGTCAAAACCAATGGTGCCTTTGTGGGGTAGGTGCACCACACGTTTTAGTCTAGTTTAGTGGGCATTGGGATGTTCACGGGGGGTACGGGGTTTTGACCCACGGCCATATGAGAATATGGACATTTGGGGTAGAGTCCTGACCCACATGACTACTTCTTCCTGTCAATGTGTGTGTGTGTGTGTTGTGCCCTGGTACTTCAACTTGTCGGGACTGATTTGCCTAGTTTCTTATTCGGTTGAGTTTGAGTTTGGTGCTGCGTGCAGCGTGTTTCAAACATCTCGATTCCCTCTCTCCTCTCACTCTCTCAAGTCATTCGCGCCCTCATGTGCTTGAAGCAGACGTGCTGTCGCGCACTCGCAGTTCAATTGACTGGCAAATGTGAGATGGAGCCAAATCTGGCAACATCCACCCAAAGTACACATTGCTTTTGCACCTTTGTGTGTGTAGTGGTTTGCCAAGCACTAGAGGCGCACGCCCCTGTCAGGCACAGCTTAGCTGTTTGCCTTTGCTGCTTAGCTGTTGGTTCCTTCAAATATTTCCGACGAGAGTCCGGGAGAGCGCGATGTATCTCAGGACTTTGGGTGCCACCAGCAGGTGCTGGGCCCAGAGACCCCTGACGGCGCCTGGCCTGTGCTGTCGCCCGCAGAGCTGACAGCGTCCCGTGGCGCATAGCTTCGTACGACTCGCGTCTGTCCTTTCATGTTTCTCTCAGGATGTTTTTTGTTCCGTGAGGCCCAGACTAGGCATAGTGGATGTCGTCGCTTCTACATTCCTTTGCGCAAACAGACAAGGCCTTGAGCGCGCCTCCCTTTGCATGAGCGACACAGGAGCTTGATGGTAGAGACATCAGGTTGATTGGCAACAGACGCATGTGCTGCAGCATGTGTTGTTTGCGCATAGCTTGGCCAGCTTGCCCCAGGCTACAACAGCCCCTGGGATGCAATGCACTGCACGGAGTCTGTCTTTTGGTTGGCCTGTCGCTGAGGCGCAGTCCAGCGCTGGTGGCAGGCTGTCCGGATCTGCAGAGCATGTGCCTCGGCTGCTTCACCCAAGCGTTGCGGGGCATGTTGCATCGACTTGTTTCAACGTCACAGCTGGTGAAAGGAGTGAGTGGGAGGGAGTGACCAAAGGATGTTTTGGCAAGTGGAAGTCGGCGCGGCTAGTGGAAGTGGATGCAACCATGGGCGAGAAGACACTGAGGAGTCCACAGTGAAACAATATGAAACACAGTGAAGACAATGTTCTGTTCGTGCCCGATCGCAATTGTTCATCAGCAACATGCAGCGCTTCTTAGGATTGTGATGGAGCCGCTTGATCCTCCAAGTTGGCGGAAGCTGACAGATGACTGGAACGGGTTGCCTCGGCGGGACCCTCAGCGCAGCTCGCTCGATTCCGCCATAGTCAAACTGCTTTGGGGCCCAGGTGCAAGGCCAACTGTGGCATAAACGCAGAGACGCTGCAAAGATGGAAAGCATCTGCCGAAGCTTTCAAGTCTTTGAGCAACGCAAAGGACAGTTGGTCATTGCAATTACAGCATGCAATGTACCAGTGCACGAGCTGGAAGCAGCTGTGTTGTGTACACACCAGGAGAAGCCTGCGCTTCAGTTCCGGACATCCCACGGAGGTCTCACCGGCCTTTGTGCTCGAGAGGCCGAGTCGGCTTTGAAGGACGGAGCTTTGTCTTGGCTTCGTTTTGCTTCTTGGCTTCTTGGGGTTTGACAGGACGTTTTGGGCGATGTGGAGTCCTTGATGCAGACCTTGCAGGCCGGGGTGCAAAGCAAATTGAGGCAGTGATTGTGTTTTCCCCCGGAAAGGCTCAGAGGGACCAGGACATGAAGCGTGCCCAAGCCGGCGTGGAAGCGATGATGGGGTGGTCTCAGATACCGCTTGACGAAGCCCCTGACAGCACTCGGCAAGTCTGGGATTTGGAAGTGGTCAGTGGAACCTTGGCAACACACAGCATGCGTCTCGTACGGCGCTTTTCCGAATTCATATGCAAGTGCTCCTCGCCGAGGATTTCATCCACCCATGCTCAGCTTCGAGTGGATAGTGGCTTCAATTCTAGCACAAGATGTTGCCTGTCCAGCTACAAATGGTATTTCTAGTCTATGTTCTGATGGAGCAGTCCATTGCTTCCTTGCAATCTGTTGACTTCAACTGCCAATATGACTTGAGGCTGGCGCAGTGTTTGCCTCGTTTCTGCCCTCTTCACTGGACCCGGAGTCTTGCTTGGAGGTGCTGGATCCCGACTGCTTGAAGCTTAGCCAAGCTTGGGCTGGAATTTGGTATGTTGGTCCATGCCAGCGCCCCACTTTCGCACTTTGGCGAGGTCTTGTGAAGGCGTGCCTCACAGTTCTTCTACTGGCCACCAGGGCCACAGCAGCGCGGCGTGCCCTGGCACACGCCTTCAACTTGGCCACCAAACTCAGCGCGGCGTGACCCGACAGCAAGCAGCAAAGCATGCAAAGCAGAATCAATACACGGAGGCAGACTTGAGCTCAGGCAGCTCAACGGATGCAGCAGCGCCAAGCCCAGCATATTGAGGTGACTTCTGCGAAGCACGCAAATTGTTCTGCGTCCACGGAGATGGAACAGCGGTGCATAGTGCAACACAAACAACCTGTTGCATGTACCTGTCAGATCCTGTCAGACAATGTCTCGATTGAGGTTCTGACTGGCGCAACCTTCAGAGCATGGCGGCACGACTGGCGGGCGAACTTGGGAGCTGCGAGGAGTTCATCGAAAGCGTGGAAGGCGAACAGATTGTGGGCAGTGCGGGGTGATGGGCTTTCTGGTCCGTATTGCCTGGGAAGTTGCTTGCCCATCGGCGATCTTTGGATCTGTGGCAATATGTTGTTTTCTCAGATCCTGACGGTCCAGGTGTCACGAATTGAGGCTAGCCTTCCTCTACTTTGACCTCTAACGTTGGGGCTGTGTTTGGATAGACACCGTCAATTTCACTAGAAGACTCGGCTCAAGTCTGCCTCTAGCGGCTGAACTCTTGTCAAACCAAAGAGGTGTTCCTCGCGAGAGATCGTCACGCCACTGCTCCCATGGGTGCTGAGACTTCCAGCTTGTTCCTGCCGTGTGATGATCTCCCCACCTGGCATCTCTTGGAAGATCAGTGTAAAAGTGCCCCGCAACTCCACTGCGTCCGCGTGTCCTTCGCAGAAGCAGATCGAGCTGCGCTTTTTGAAGTTTGGAAAGGCTGGGCCACGTCAGTCGTCCAGAATCTGCAGTCCAGCGGAACTCTGAAGGTGGCGCCTCAGAGGAAATCAACAAGCTCTTGTCAAGAGCTGTTCATGGACAAAGTCGTACGCCTGCCCTTGTTTGATGTGGCAAAACAGTGGATCAGAGATTCCAGATGGTGGTGCATTAGATACTGAGTGTGCATCGCAAGTGAAGCACACATACTATAGAGGAATTCAGCAAAAACATGTACTTGTTCTTGTTTGTGCTTCGAAATGCTTCTCAACCTAACAGCGTTGCCAGTTTGGAGCGCGTCCTTCAGGTACTAGTGCTTGGTGCGAACGACTCCGTCTTCTCGCGGAACGACATTCTACAACTGTGTGAAGCCCTCCGCGGTGTGACGAAAAGGCAGATTCTAATCAAGTACATCCGCTTTGCCGAGCTGCAAGCGAATGACTTCAATCCGGACAAGGTAGGTATTCATGCCCGAAAAGGCGTGTTCTTGATTTTGTGCATTGTGAATCTACGATTCTTTTTCTCGGTCTTTCGGTTGAGACCTATTGACGTCTTGCTTTCCGGGTGAAGGCATGTTTCGGTGGCTTGTTTTCGGTGGCTTTTTTCCAGGGTGGCGTGGATCAGCTTTCCGCGGACCTTCTGGCACTGAACGCCTGGACAGATGCTCCGTACTATTTCTACAAGCGGGCCAGCGAAGGTGTGGCAGCTTTAGGCATTTAGGTTTTGGTGCTTTGTTTCTTGAGCTGAGTGGGGATGTGTTCGGTGCTTTGCTTTCATGATTCCAGACTCCCTGCGCTTGTCTTGCAGGATTCTTGGCCTTCAGCGACCAGTGACTGTCGTGCTTCTCTTCGAACAGCCGCGCCTGCTGCCTTGGAGGATAACGAGGGCGACGGGCGAAGCTGGATGAAGCTCCGAAGGGTCCCATGCGCTGGTGCTTCACGAGCTGACTTTAAGCAACGAGCTGGCGCTGTAGGGCGGATTGAAGGCAGACAGCACCGCTGGCGAGGACATCCGACAGCGCAAACGCTAAAGAGCAGTGGACAAAAAGCCCTTCGAACTCTTGCTGCGAGCCTTTTCAATCTGTGCCTCTCTTTAACATCCGGGTGGAAGAGACACTCCGCTGTCTTTGGGCGGTTGCGGAAATTTATTAGTGGCACAACGTGCCACTGTGAGTGTCAACGTCATCTATTTTCCTTTGACAAGGCATCGAGCTTGGGGGTCTACTGATGTTGATAGACATTCATTTCCTGTGCATCCACAGACCTCATGGGAATTTTGGGAATGCTTGGTTTGGACGGTCAGTCTCCTCCTAAGAAGCTTCTAAACCGCAAAAGGCATGTCCCGCAGAGAGCTGGGCAAGAAGATGTCCAATCATTTCTTTTCACATTGATCAACTTGATCTCCAATCCGACCTGTAATAACCACGACTCTTTCTAGGAAAAAAAAGAAACAGCAAACCGCGAACTTCTGTCGGGCAGAACACATCAAAGCGCTGTGTGAAGTGATAAAACAAAACGTATTCAGCAAAGGCCAATAATGCTTCTACAGACATGGGGGGGCCTACCCAATTGAACTGCAAGTAATACGGTCGATGGTTCGCATGTGTGTTTCGCGCGGCAAGGTTCTTGAGCCCAACAGCAATCACTGTGCTTTCGTCAAGTTGTCAGGCCGAGTCTCGTTGGATCCTCACTTCTTGCTCTTCGAGTGGCTTTTTGTGAAGGGCAACCTGCGGCAAGGGCAGTTGGCTTTAGTGCAGCGCTTCGTGGAGGCTGCCAGGCGAGTCGGGTGCGACCCCTCATTTCACGTTTGACGCAAAAGTTTCACGTTCTGAACTTGACACTTAAGTCCTTGCACATCCTTGCACCCTTGCCTTTTCGCGCATGTGCAGGTCGGGGCAGCCGCTTGTGCGGCAGCTGCTGATGGGTGAGGGCAAGTCTGCGGTGATTGCGCCCCTGTTGAGCCTCCTTTTGGCTCAGGACTTGGTGCTGCAGGCCAGGAAAGTTGGGAAAGTGCGACTCATGACATAGCTAGTCAAGAAAAACATGTTGCAGTGTTTCAAGCGGCGTTGACAGTCAGAAACGCAAAAGGCAAGGGCAAAAAGTGATGTTTGCGAAAAGCTGAGATGATTGTCATGTTCTCCTGTCATTGCTTGCGTCAAAAGAGCAGCCTGGACCTCTCCGCTTTGGGAACTTTTAATCGGCCGCGCTGAGGGAGAACATGTTGGGCGGCATTGTGCCTGCCCACTTTCTTCGGTGGTATTCTCGTGAGACTACGGGATATTGTTTTTTGATTTTTTACTTTGCTCCCTGAGCATTGGGCTGTGACCATTGATAGCTTTGGCACACCCTTCTGTTTTTTGTTTTTTGTTTTGCCAAAGTGCGCGTCTTGGCTCAGGTGGTCCCGGATCAGCTGCTGTCCCAAAGCCTGTCCACCATGAGAGGCCTGTTTGGTCAGGCCTGGCTCTGCTTGCAGGCTTTCTCCAATTGTCAGCTTGTGGCAAGTTGGAGACTGCTAGTCGTTCTGTTGATGCACATTCACTTGATGTGTGATCACACATCTTTGGAGCGCAGATTGGCAGGCCAGTGTGCTTGACAGGCCTTCTTCCGACCAGTCTACAACTTCAGTTTCGACCGCTCTGAAGCCAACTACCGTTCTGCCTATAGCTTGCTGCAGAAGTTGAGGATGGCGGTCCAGCAGCGCGCAGCTGTTCCGTGGCGACAAAGAAACTTGCAGAAGCGTCATAGGAGAGACGAGACAGCATGTGGGACTCATGTACGGCACATTGCACTTCCATCGTATCTCAGGTTTGCACGACTGCCTCGTCTGTCAAGAGCTTCTTGCCTGAGTGTTCATTGCAATCGCGAGACACACACCAGCGAGAGTCTCCGGCCCAGCCGCCTCTTTTCGTTCAAAGGTCGTTGCTATGCCGAGTGTTCTTCTTTTGGCTGCCTTATAAGAGGGCTTCTCCAACTTGGTCGGCGTCTTGTGTGAGAGCTAGGTGTCTGGGGAGGAATCTTCCCCACAAAAGAGTCCGTGAAAGAGTTCCGATTTGCCGGGATGAAAGCGCAAGGCAACCGAGGCTTGTGGCAAAGACAATGGAATGGTTTTTACTGGCATCTTGCTAGGCTGCCTCCTGTCCTTTGTGGAGGTGGCCCAAAAAGGCCAGAAGGGCCCCCCTGGGCCTGACGAGTGCTCGCCTCAAAGCGAACCCGGCCTTCCAGCCTGCCGTCACACTCGCGCACTGAGGTGCCTGGAGGCCGCCCAAAAGCAGTGGCCGAAGCTGGAAGCGTCGCAGAAGCTTGGTCCAAATCCGCCCTGCCGCGGCTCTTTAAGGTGAACCAGGCGAGCGGATTCGGATTCTGATTTCAAATTTTCTGAGGAACTTGGAGTTCTTGACGCTGTGCTTGCGCGGAATCCTCTTGACATTTCGCCAAGCGGTGGCAGTGCTGGACGTGGCTCGGACTTAAGGCGATCATTGGGGACACATGTCTGGCACATTGGATTGGATTACGGGAAAGTAAGGCATGAGAAGGAGCTTGCAACTTAGCGGAGCCAAGGAAATCGACCTGCTCCTTCACCCTTTGATGTCAGAACTGAGCTTGAGCTGCAGTGAGCTTATTGTGATTTATGAACCGAAGAAATGCATCCCGCGTTATTAGCGCATGGCGATTTGACCAATGGAGTGCAGCTTTCTTGTTGTTTTCTTAGGCACAGTTCGGCAGTTTCTGGTCATTGCACAATGTGGAGCGAGTTGTCGACATGTCTTCCATCTTCTGCATGCCCGTTTTGCACTTCAGACCTTCGAGGTCATCAACCTTAGGACCTTATCGAATGTTGTTTTGGTTGCTTGGGTAAGCATGTACCTGAATATCATCTTCTATGTTGCTCGTGTTTCATCGTACTTTATTGCTTCTTCCAGCGTTTTATCCCGTTGCCATCCGTGATTTGAAGCGCAGTTGCTTCTGTGTCGCTTGCGATTGTTGCTGCGGCGTTGCTGCTGCCTTGTTGCTGGTATCGCTCGTCTGTTTTTGTTTTGTCCTGCTTGGTCTCAAAGTCGTGCCAATTTCCGTCTTGTCGTTTTCCTCACGACTTGCTAGCATTGCCACCGGGTCATTCAGCGTGACGTTCTGCGAGGAACTTCCCTGTCGGTCCCCGCGAGCCTTTGGATCTGTCCCCAGACCGCTGGGACTTGGCGATGCATTTGCTGCAGCCCTTCCTGGACTCCTCGCAAGCCCCAAAGGCATGCTGCAAGGCCCGACCCACTGACAGACCACGTTGAAGGTTTCCAAACGGTCGGGTTTTTGCACATGTTGGAATCATGCAATAGCACTCTTGTTGGTACTTGTACTTGTGAGAACCGTGTGACATACTTGTGGGTCGTTATCTACCCAAGCGCGCAATTGCCCACTGGGTGTCGGACCCTGTAGGCAATCACAGACGGCCTCCAACAATTGGCGTTGAGAAGCAATCCTCACTTGATCCTCGCCATAGAGGATTTCTTCTTTGAACGCCTGGAGGATCCCTTGCGTGACTGGCTTTGTGAATACTTCGGGTGCCGCCCTGCTTTCAAATCCGTGAGCCGAAGCGAGATCGCAGAAGCGCTGGCCACCGGCGCTGGGCCCAAGGGGATGGAGGTCGCGGAAGCCAGGCTGCTGACGTTGGGACATGAGTGGCTGAAGCACACGCTGCCCTTCGTTCTGAGCAAGGTCAATCGTGTCCACTACGGCCTGCTGCGCCAGAAAGATGTTGCGGACCTCACCTCTAGAGGCTTTCCTCCGACGGGTACGCGCCTGCAGGTTGCTGTGCCCTTCACCGGCTTGGAGACGCCATCGTTGGCCTCCGAGTTCGCCAATCCGGATGTGGCCATCGGGCCAAGGGCTCAGTGCACGCATTCGGTGCAGAGTGGGCACGAGGGACCTCAGAGTGTCGATCGAGGCTGACCATCCTTGCATTCGGCCATGAAGGAATGCGGCAGTCCGATGTGAAAACGATGCTGTTGCTGCCGACGCCTGAGCATTCTGTCAGGCATTGCAATCAACGTATTCGTGTTTTTTGAAATCTTGGCCTGGCTAAATTCCAAGTTTCTGCCTCAGTATGGTTTGGCGCTTGGACCCAGCTAGTGCATGTGCGTCCATTTTGAACCCAGGTTGAAAGCTGAGCTGTTGCGTGACGTCGCAACGCCTCCGCCCCAGCGCGAAGCCTTCCGGCGCTTCAAGGAGTGGACCACGGAGGCGAGCGAAGGCGCCGAAAGCCCCAAACTGGGCGACGGCGCTTCGAATGTCGGGTCGACGGTGTTGCCCTTGGACCTGGTGCAGCCAGAAGCGCAGACCATCCGAGTGCTGAAGCGGCTGTGGCAGCGCCCAGACCGCAAGGCGTCCGTGATCTTCTTCTATCTGCGCAAGGAGATCTTCCCCAAGGCCACGCCCACCCAGGTCAAGAAGTACTCAGCCTGTGCCCAGGAGCTTTGAAAAGCAAATTCTTTTCGACGCCTTTTGTTTCGGCGTTGCGTTTTGCAAGGAGTTGGCCTCTCCCAAGATCTTCAAGGTCCATTTGGGCTTCTCCGGAACGCCCTCCAACGTGTTGCCCTGGACGATGCCCGCCGTGGAATTCGACGAGGCCACGGACGGGCAGACCTTGGCGATTTTGGCATCTCCGCAGGTGGTGAGCCTTCAGTGGCTGCGTTCTGGTTGGACGCCCCGGACGCTTCTGGACCTCATCGCCACCCGGCAGCCCCCCTTTTGCGCTCTCATCGACACGGGGGCGCTGCTGTGTGGCCTGGAGAACGAGGAGGTGGCCAAGCTCCTCATGGAAGGACCACTGAGCCAGGTGAAGGAGGCCTGCGTGTTCCTGACGCGCGCCGATCTGCCCATGATCCTGCTGAAGGGAGCCTCGCATGCGGTGCCCCTGGAAGACGCAAACATTCTGCCGGAGAAGCGCTTCTGCTACTTCGACCAGCCGCACACTACAGGCATCGACATTCAGCAGCCGCCATTGGGAGCTGCCAGCTCAGTCGAGCTCCGGATATATTGGATACACACACACAAACAAATATATGGATAATATATATATATGTATATATATATAGCCAGAGGAAGAGAGAGACACATGGGGGTCTTGAGCGAATTGTGTCTAAGTTCGTGCTGAGGTTGCAGCCATCACGCTGGGAAGGGACATGAGTTTCCGTGAGCTGCAGCAGGGCGCGTGGCGCATGCGGGGCCTGGCAAAGGGCCAGAGCTGTGTGATGCTGCTGCCGGAGGAGGTGGCGGTGTACATGCGGAGCCAGCTGCGTGACCCCAGCGCCGTGCCAACGGCCGAAGCGACGGCGCTGCAGGACATCCAGGCGGCGCTGCTGGTGAAGAGCTTGGAGCTGGAAGAGCTCCAGGCGCGGCAGTTGGTGCGCCAGGACTTGGCCAGCGCCTGGAAGGATGAGGCGTTGGCGTCGCTCACGGATGGGCTCGGCGACAAAGAGGCCTTGTTGGAGCTGGTGCCCACCGAAGTGCAGCAGCAATCCGCCAAGACGCTGGAAGCTTCACTGCGCGAGCTGGCAGCGCCCTTCGAAAAGTCGCTGTCTGTCTCTGCTGCAGTGGAGCGGGCTGTGAGCCGCGCGCTGCGCATGCTGGGCAAGACCACGGCGTTTGAGAGCGCCACAGGGGAGATCGTCCGGGAACAGGAGGAAGAACATCAGCATGAGCATCAGATCGAGTCGGAGGAACAGGGCGCTGTGAATCGCCCCTCTCTGGGTCAAAGCCGAATTTGGGAGCTTCAAGAAAAGATGCGGCAGCTTGCCGCAGTGCCGGAAGCCTCCGGAGCTATGCCATCCGCAGCCGAGATGCAGCTCCTCACTTTCCCTCCCTTCCTCAAAGTGGCGGAGCTGTTGGGCCTGGCCAGCGCTGGCAAGGCCCTGAAAGCTGTCCATGCGGCGCATGCGGCGCATGCGGCGCATGCGCACGCCATGGCCCAGAGTTTGCGCTTCTCGCCGAACTCGCGGTTCACAGCGGAGGCGCCCATTCTGCGGCCCGTGCTCGTGGCTTTGGAGCTCGCGTCCAAAGACGTGGCCACCACGTTGGCCTTGTCTTTGACGGAGGCCGAGACCATTCGCTGGGCTCTCAGACATGGAGGCCCCGCAGGCATCAAGTTCTGCCTGCACGCTGTCTCAGAGTCTCCCATGTTCGATGCTGACAACACGGTGATGGAACACAAGGCTGGGTGTATGTTCCGCTATTGGTGGCTTTAAAGCGGACAGATTTTGGTTGGCCCCAAGTGGAGTCTCAGCTTACCTTGGCAGGTGATTTGCTCCAACTACGACACTTGCGCACTCTCGCCACCCCCTGTATGCCTCCTGCGGTTTTACTTGGGCGAGTCCTGGTTCTCTCAATACGCACCTTGGTTTGCCTCTCTCGAATTTTGGCCGGTCACTCCCCAGAGCACCAGAACCAACCCGAACACATTGCTAAGGAGCTGCGCTTCTTGGCAGAGGTCATTGGCAATCGCAAGCAGGATTGGGATCGCCGAAGGAATAAGCTCAAGTTGACAAGATCTTTTGCATTTGCAAAGCTCGCGGCTCGTTTCGCAGGACTTCCAACGACTCAGAGCAGCCGTGTTCAGTGCTCGCCGTCCAGGCGGCGCAGCGGACTGGTCGTGCACTCCGCTGGCCACCGTGCTCGGCACAGCTGCTGCACCATTAGGCAGAAAGAATGGGTAATACCGGTGCTATGGGCGAGGACCTAGGTGCCAATTTCCTCAAGCTTCCCACAAAAAGAAAAAAGGAGGGGGCACTTCCTAAGTGAGCCATCACCAAGAAGCATGTTCTGACACTTCAGCTGCCCTCAGATGTGATGCTTCCTTCTGGCCCCACATTCCTCGAGCGTACCTTGTTTGCACACTTCCCTTTGCACATTGTGCGCATTGCGGTCTGGCATGGTCTGGCAATCCAATCCCTTATCGCTTGAAGCCTAGGCTTCAGTTCCGAAGCTTTAGCAGGCTGCCAGGCTGCATCTTGAGAGCCTTGCCCATTACCCACGGAAGAACATCACCAGCTGGATCAACTCAGGAGGCAGAGACTTTGTGGAGATCTACGTGCAACAGCATGCCCCAAAAGAAACCATTGAGATCCTGGAGGACTGAACCCATGCGGTCAGATGAACTCGGCCTCAGCAAGTCCTTCCCAAGACGTCAAGATGAACACCAGATCCACATCGAACTCTGTCACTCCATCAAGACCGAGCCGTGAGATGCTTCACCAGCGCGCTTGCTTCTAGCTGGTGGGTCAACCCAACGCGCCACTTCCGGGAGAGGGACTGGCAATAAGCTGTGCTAAGCAACATGCTGAGACTGACTAGCGGGCAAAAATACTGCACGTGCTCATGTGCAAACGGGGGGGTTGATCGCAAGGTCTTTTGCATGGGAGGACCATTCGGGAAAACCACAAACAATGTTGTTGCCCTATAAATGGGAAAAGATGCCCATGCTCAGTTCGGGACCAGAATATTGATCAGCATCTATAAATCTATCTATCTATATATTTGTTTGTCTGTCTAGTCTAACCTAACCTAATCTAATCTAATCAAATCTAGTCTATCTATCTATCTATCTATCTATCTAATCTAATCTAATCTAATCTAATCTAATCTAATCTAATCTAATCTATCTATCTATCTATCTATCTATCTATCTAATCTATCTATATATCTATCTATCTAGCTATCTAGCTATCTAGCTATCTATCTATCTATCTATCTATCTAGCTATCTAGCTATCTAGCTATCTATCTATCTATCTATCTATCTAGTCTATCTATCTATCTATCTATCTAATCAAATCTAATCTAATCTAATCTAATCTAATCTATCTATCTATCTATCTATCTATCTATCTAATCTAATCTAATCTAATCTAATCTAATCTAATCTAATCTATCTATCTATTTATCTATCTATCTATCTATCTATCTAACTAATCTAATCTAATCTAATCTAATCTAATCTAGCTAGCTATCCATCTATCTATCTATCTATCTATCTATCTATCTATCTATCTATCTATCTATCTATGTGTGTGGGTGCTTTGACTGTGTGCCACATTCACCTGTTCATTTGAACAGTTTCAATGCCTGGCGCTTGGCTCCAAGCACTTCGAGTGCAGAACGGGCCAATGACTTGCCCCAGGAATCATCCGCTGGCCAACCTTGGCACATCCAAGGACAATGGCTGGGGGTGCGATGGGATGAAAGCCCCAGGAGGCTGCAGAAGTGGTTTGACAGGCTTCAAGCAGTCCTACGGTACCTTGGTATGACAAGTATCGGCCATGTCGGATGTCAATGCAAGGGTCTCATGTGTCGAATTGCGTTTGTTCAGTGAATGAGGCAATTGCACACTCAATTGCCACTGTCCACCCAGGTATGTGCCGCTTTCAGTGCGGCGGCCCGAGATCATTTTGTGTCGAAATGCGCAAATTGGCACATGTATGCATATAGGCCACGTGAAGCCTTGGATGGGGCCGTGCGGCACGCAAGACGCTTAAGACGTCAGCCCGAGGCAAGACCTGCGATTTCGACTTTTGCGAGGAGTGCTACCTGGAGCAGCTGAACAGTCGGCGCTGTGCCAAGGGCCACCCCTTGCTGGCGTTGGGCACCTCCATGGACAACGGCTGGCTGTGCGACAGTGGGGATGGCTGCAAGAGCAAAGCGCGAGGCTTCAAGAGCACCAAGGGCCTCCCGCGCTTCCGCTGTGAAGCCTGTGACTTTGACTACTGCGAGCGATGCTACGCGAGCCCCAACCCCAAGAACTGCGACAAAGGCCACCCGCTTACAGCCTTGGGGGTCACCAGGGACAACGGATGGGGCTCCTTGGCCAAAAGCCGACGTTTCGGTTGGGTTCGGCCACCCGCTCAATTTTTCAAAACCCCTTTAACGCCTGTCTTTGTTTTCATGTGCTAGACCAAGAATTTGCCTTCAGGTTGCGATGGTCGTAGCGCCCCTGGCGGCTGCCAGCGAGCCATGACAGGCTTCAAACAGTCGAAAGGGGTCCCCCGCTACCGCTGCGAGGTGTGTGACTTCGACCTGTGTGACAAGTGTTACGACGTGCGGGAAGTCATAGATGCAAAGCCAAAAATGAGGATGGAGCTCAAAATGGAGTCCATGAAAGTCGATAAGACTCTCATCCCAAGACATTGGGATGAGACAATCATGGGGGACATCCACATGGAGAAGGGGCTCTCTCCAACCGCAGACAATGTGATGAACAGGTTTGGGAAGATTCAGCTGAGTGAGAAGGAGGTTACGGCCATTCAGTGCCTTTGATCGATTGGGCCTTGTCCACAAGTCTCACTGCGAGACAGCGAGTGCCCGAGGCAAATCTTTGACGACACCTATAAGAAGGTCTACACCAGAGACCGCAAGGGTAGCAAGGCGGGGGCGTGGTGCGCTTGCCATTAGATCATTAGACATCTTGGTCAGCTTTCTCAGATGCAAGCTGGCACAAGCTGTGGCGTTTGTTCAGGTTCCAGATCGGCTTGAGGTGGTGCGTGCTGAGCGGATCCAGAACCTGCAGAATTGGGCGGAGTTCCGACTCAAGCAGCAGGAGATCTTGGAGGAGCTCGTGCAGCTCAAGGAGCGCGAGCAGTTGGGCGCCTGCAGCAACGGCCATGCGCTGATCCCGCTGGGCACCACCCAGGACAATGGCTGGGCCTGTGATGCCAGGAACGAGGGCGAGGGCGGTTGTCTCAGCGGCATCACAGGCTTCCATCAGACCAAGGGCAAGAATCGCTTCCGCTGTGAGAAATGCGATTTTGACTACTGCGACAAGTGCTATCTTCTGCGAACGGGGGCGAAGCTATGCATGAAGGGACATCCCTTGGTTCCACTGGGCACTACACAGGACAATGGTTGGGGCTGTGACAATGCAAGCACGAAAGCTGGCTGCTTGCGACAAAACAAGACCAAAGGGGTGGACCGTCATCGTTTCGGGCTCAGTTGGTGATGCAGCAGGTACATATATATATATATATACACACATGTATCTGTGCACATGTGTGTGTGTGTGTGTGTTTGGTTTGCCAATCCAGTGACGCTGTTTGCAACTGTGTGAGACTAGACTTGACTAAGGATGCGAGGTTTGTGACTATGACCTGTGTGATCTTTGCTACAAGAAGCACATCGGACATGTCATCAATAACTTGCGAACAGCTGGCACAAGCATCATGGACCTCAACAGCGGAGACGCCGATGGGGACACCAACACTGTTTGGCTGTTTCATGGCACAAGCGATGAAGCGGCAGAGAAGATCACGCGGGGCGACTTTCTGGTAGATAAGGCCGGGTCTAACGCAGGCACGCTCTACGGCCGGGGCATCTACTTGGCTGAGTCTTGCAGCAAGTCTGATGAGTATTCCACAGAGAACAGTGATGGTCACCGGTGTATTTTGCTTTGCCGGGCTGCGCTTGGGAATGTTTTGTACAACGACGACGTCGCCCCGAACGTGGACTGTGTTTTGGCGGAAAGTTGAAGCTTTGCTGTTGATTGTGTTTGCAGGGTTGCTGTTTGTTGGTGCCACAAACACTTTGCCAGTCAAGCAATCCCCAAGGCATCGTCCGGCAAATCCATGACAAAAACTACCATTCCTTGCTTGGCGACCGCGAGAAATGTCGAAAGACATTTCGCGAGTTTGTAGTATACGATGACGATCAGGTCTATCCTGAATTTGCAGTGTGGTACAAGCGCGTCTATGACGCCAAATAGCAAGCTAACGAGCACCTGGGATTGAGTGAGGCAGACCATTAACGGCCAACTACAAAGGATGTTTAACACGAACTTGCGTCTTAGCACTGGAACTGGTTGGATGCAATTCCTTTGAGAACATGAAAAGGTTAAGAAAAGCTTTCAATAGGAACTGGGGGAAAGAAGCGGCCGAAAACGTGTCCCTGTGCGTAAGTTAGGCTCTTCCGCATGTGCGCAAACCACCGAGATGTCTCGGAACGGTTCCGGCTCAGGCTTGGAAACGGGACCATTGGCACGGCCGCGCGCAGTCTTTCGCAACCATCAAACGGTCAATCCTTTGACGTCAAGGCCTCGGTGTTGCTCGCATTCACTTTGCACGCGTAACCCTTTGCGGACTGTCGTGTGGCCAACCATCAAAATCTCGCGCTTTTCCCTCAGCTAACCAAGGAACCAGATAACCGTCAAAGAAGGAACTAGGCAGCCGTAGGAAGCCTATCTAACTCGCGAACTGGCACGCGAGCTGCCTACCCAGCAAACTAGCTAGCGAACCCCAATTCAACAATCCGCGCAACTTGCAAGCTAGCAAATTAGCTAGCTGAGCTTTGCCAGCTAACTTGAAAGCACATTAACTAGCTAGGTTGACTTGAGCACACGCGTGCGCTAAAGAAGAAAAGATCAACAAAGCCGCACTTGCATGGACTGGCAAGAGCTCACTAGAACTGTAGCTGTTATATTTGTGCAACGTCTGCTTCCTAAATTGCTGGTAAGCAGAGACACGATTCTTGCCATCCGATATTGAGACAGGACATGAAATTGTTGGTGCCAACACGGCTCACGTTTTGATTATGCGCTTTGACTCCCAGGGGCCCTGACTGATCCAAAGGATTGTCGGCGGGCAGCTATCGCTTTTTGCAATTCGCAGTGTGCCACACCACGAGGTGGACAAAGAAGCATCGCGAAATGCCAAAAAATCCCCCAGGATTCGATGCACAGTTTTGTTAGGGAGAGTTTGGTTGCCACATGTTTGCGAGGCTGTTTCTTGGAGCCTCAGCTTGTTGTCTAGACCGAGCTGTTCTGGGTGTCGGCAGCTGCACAGACCTGTGCGTTATGCAACTGTGTCAAGATGCGCAAACGCAAGCAAAGTACTGGTGGTGGTCGCCATTTGCTCTTGTGCGGTGATCATGGAAGGGTCTTCCAACAGCGTTTCACAGGGAGCGCATTTCCAAAGGCATTTGCCGAAATCATTGACGTTGCGTCGAGTTTCGCAGAAGCTTCAAAAGTAGTTTGCAACTTGCCAGACCTTGCTTCATCAATATCTGTGGAGCTCGCCAATTGCTCAGGCACATGAGATTTATCAGCAAACACGCCGTTGCGAAGCAACTCCTGCCTGGGCACAGTGAGAGCTCGATTCACATCGGGAATCACCGCGTCGCGCCGCCCGATTTGCTCAGGCGCTGTTTGGCCCTCTTTGGGCAAGCGCAAAGCGAACGCGCAATTTCTTTCCAGTATTTGCCTTGGCGCTTCCGCGAGCCATGGAGCTTATGTCAGGGCTACCCTTGATGTTCAAGCTCCTCCCATTTACACACGCCGTTGACAGGATGCTCTTCACAGATGCTTGGGACATAACCGTTACCGAGGCCGGCAACGGCTGCGCGTGTTATGTGAGAAGAAGAGTCCGTTCCCGATTCAAGGACATAATTCCAACTTTGCCTGCCGGCTCGAGCCAGGAACAGTATAGAGCTGAGAGAGCTCAAGATGTGCGGAATTGGCGTCGCAGCACTTTGGAAGCCGTGGACGAAATCCACCGACAGGCCCGCCGCAAACTTTCACGAACTGATTTCAGTTCGCTGCTTCGCCAAGCAGATCAGTTTTTTGTTGGTGCCTCTAGATTCGTGCTTGATTGGACCGCAGGCCGATAAGACCGAAAATCAGCTGCGAGATCTCTGGGAGGCGGGGGCGTCGCCACGTCATCCTTGGATTTCTCGGAGTTTTGGGTTCAAGTTCGAAGTGCATGTGCCAGGGCGTCCAGGAAGCCTTCGCCTGGTGCAGCTCTGGTGCTCCACGAAGCGATGGAGGTTTGAGGCCGGAGTGACTTTCGAGCCTTCGAGACAGAACGTGCGCTTTGGGATTTGCAAGTCCTGAATTGATTGCATCATATTGCATCACTCGGCCATGCTGATTGCGATGTTCAGGGCTAGAGTTGAGAGCAGTAGCAGCCACTTTCACAAGTCTCAGGCAAAGCGTGCGAACACCCGAGGCATGGCTGACAAGCTGTTTGGCGTCTTGGATGCAACTTGTACAAAAGGGGCAGCCCCGCATTGTTCTTGTGAATGGCACAGAGCCTCGACCTAACGCATCACAAATTGCGTCGCTCAGCTGCAAGGCACTTTCTCGGAGTTGAAGACCGAAATGCAAAAGTTCCAAGAGGTGTATGCGGTGCACGAGGTGCACGAGGGTCACTGGGGGACGCGCTGCACAAAGTTTGCCCACAGCACTTGCCAGGAGTGCGAAGGTGGCTTTGTGAAGCGCAACGGAGGTTGCGCCTCTTGCGCCAGCTCTAGTGCTTGGTTGGATGAAGATGGGCTTTCTTGCGACCAGACGATGATGTCCCAGCCCAAAGCACCAACCAGGAGGCTGCCAATATGGAGGAGGTCGCATGATTTCGAACGGCCAACTCTGGGCATTGAAATCGGAGATCATTCTCCAACCAGAGCCCCGCACAGCGCTACACTCTCGACTAGGCTGTGAATTGGTGGCATGCAACTTGACCATGGATGGATCGGCAGGAATGATCCCCTACATCCAGTGGAGGACAAAGCCAGCGTTGCCTTCAGCTTGCAAGGTGAAGCTACAGCGCATCAAACAGCTGGCGTAAGCTTCACAACTGGGGTTACATTGATATGGACGGACAGAATGAATAAAATCAAAACACAAATGATAATTAACAATTAAACCACGACATATATATATATATTATAAGAAAGAATAAACAAAGAGAAACGGACAACATAAGAAACAAACGGACTATAATCACAACACAAACGGGAGACACAAAAGACATGGAAAGCAAAAAAGAGAGAAATACATATATATATATACACATATATACACACATATATACATATATTACAAAACAACAGCGATGAAACAAGAATATTAAAGAATGAAGGCAATGTTTAATAATTGTAAATAACAACATAAGGACATAAGACAAATAAAACAAAAAACACGAAGGAAAAGGCAGAATGAAGGAAGAAGACAGGGGAAATACAAGAACACAAAATATTAAAGACACACGTGAAAGGGAACTATATAATGAATTCATCGTATATCTTGATATGACCATTTCAAATGGAATCACTTGTGCATCAATGTCGCCATGCACATGTATGGCTCCTGGCTTCGTTGCCCTCCATTGTAAGTGCTGCGCGTTTTTGTTCTCATTGCCCAGAGCATGCATGGCTGCTAGCCATGCAGCAACTGGTCATGGACCAGCCTGCGGCTTCGGCACTTCGGCACAGATTGGGTCCACGAAGCTCTTCTCTCACCGCAAGCCAAATGCCGTTGTATTCGCAAGCTTGGAAAAGAAGGCAGGCCGCATGTGTAGATCTGCCAAGCGTCAAGAACAGACACTCGCGGCAACGGCGGACTTTTCGGCCCTTTGCAACTTGGGCCCGCATCCGTCGGCTCAGGAAGTGCAGGACGAGCTAGAAGCGCCTGGTTGGCCGACTCTGCCCTTGAAAGGGATCTTGACCGCGCTGACGAAGAAGAAGCGCGATGATGTTGTTTCTAGGGTGCTCGAGATACTTCTGACGGGGCAAGTGCCATTGGATGTCAAGGCTGTAACCGCCGCAATGACTGTTTGTTCAAAGATCCGGGCCTGGCACAATGCTTGCTTGCTCCTCTCGGCAATGCCTGCTGCCCAGGTGCAAGCCAACGCAATTAGTTGCAACGCACTGATCAGTGCTTGCGCAAGAGGGATGCGGTGGCAGCAGGCATTGGCTGTGTTCTCTGCCATGCCTGAGTCCCAGCTGCAAGCTGATCTTGTTAGCTTCAATGCCACAATCAGCTCGTGTGAAAAAGGCATGCAGTGGCAGCAAGCGTTGAGTATGTTTTGGGCAATCCCTGAAGCAGCAATTCAAGTGGATGTTGTCAGCTTCAATTCAACTATCAGTGCATGCGAGAAAGGTGGGCAGTGGCAGTGTGCGTTGGCTTTACTTCAAGCGATGCGCGGAGCAAAGGTTCGGGTGGACGTTGTTACATTCAATGCCACCATCAGCGCATGTGAGAAAGGGGGACAGTGGCAAAAGGCAGCAGCTTTGTTTCAAGCGATGCCTGCAGCAAAGGTGCAAGCTGATGTTGTCAGCTTTAATTCAATCATCAGTGCATGTGAGAAGGGTGGACATTGCCAGCAGGCGTTTGCATTTTTCCTCGCCATGCCTGAATCAAAGGTGCAAGCGAACGTCATTAGTTTCAATTCAACAATAACCGCGTACAAGCAAGATGGGCAATGGCAGCGCGCGTTGGTATTGTGGTCGACAATGCCGGATGCCAGGGTGCACGCCAATTGCATCACTTTCAATGCAACCATCAGCGCTTGTGAAAGAGGGGGATGTTGGCAGCAAGCCTTGGCTGTGCTTTTTGAAATACCCAGAGCAATGGTACAAAATGAGGAGATTAGTTTCAATGCCGCCATTAGTGCCTGTGCAAAAGCCGAGCAGTGGCAGCAAGCGTTGGTGTTGCTCGAGGCCATGCCTGAGGCAAAGGTATTTGCTAATGTGATCAGCTATAGTGCAACTATCAGTGCATGCGAAAAAGCATGTCAATGGCAGTGGGCGTTGGTCATGTTTGGGGCCATGGCTGATAGCAAGTTGCAACCAGATGTGATTACTTTCAATGCGACCATCAGTGCATGCGAGAAAGGTGGGCAGTGGCAGCAGGCGCTGGCCTTGTTCAGGGCCATGCCAAGAGCAACGATACAGGCCAACGTCATTAGCTATAGTGCAACGATCAGTGCTTGCGAGCGGGTTGGGCAGTGGCAACAGGCATTGGCTTTGTTTCGAGCTATGCCTGAACAGGAAGTGAAAGCCAATGAGATAAGCTTTAGCGCAACAATCAGCTGTTGCGAAAAATGTGGCGAGTGGCAGCAGGCGTTGGCTTTGTTTGCGGCAATGCCCACATCAAAGGTGCAAGCTGATGTTGTCAGTTTCAACGCAACTATCAGTGCTTTCGAAAAAGGAGGGCAATGGAAGCAAGCCTTGACCTTGTTGGTGGTTATGCCAGAAGCAAAGGTGCAAGCTGATGTTGTTAGCTTCAATTCCACCATCAGTGCGTGTGAGAAGTTCGGGCTGTGGCAGCAGGCATTAGCTTTGTTCCAGGCAATGCCGGTTCACAAGGTGCGCGCAGATGTCGTCAGTTTCAACGCAACCATCAGCGCATGTCAGAAAGCCGTCCGGTGGAAGGAGGCATTGGCCCTTTTTGGCATCATGCCTAGAGTCAGCGTGCAAGCAAATGTTTGTAGCTTTGGCGCGACCATCAGTGCATGTGAAGGCAAGTGGCGGCAGGCGTTGCTTCTATTTTGGGCCATGCCCAAAGCAAGGGTGCAAGCCAATGAAGTAAGCTTCAACGCGATTACTGCCTCCGGAACTGGGCAGTGGCAGCAGGCGGTGTTTTTGTTTTGGGCAATGCCGCATGCGAAGGTGCAATCCAGTGGTCTTAGTTTCAACGTAGCCATCGGCGCTTGCGAGAAAGGCACAAGCCATGGGTATTGGCAGCAAGCCTTGGCTTTGTTCTTTTCGATGCCAGAGGCAAGGGTGCAAGCTGATTTGCTCAGCGTTATTGCAACAATCAATGCGTGTTATGAAGGTGGGCAGGGGCGGCAATTGGCAAAGTTGCTTGGCACAATGCAACACGGAGGCTTGAAACTGCTCCAGTGATATACGAGCCTGGGCTTCAGCATGTGCCACGACTTGAACGAGCCTTGCATGAGACAGTGTGCAATGATCGGGCAAAGACAACATGTCCAATGATGGAAGATCTCTTCTGTCGTACCAGTTGGTGGTTCTTTGTCGGCTCTCGGAGTTCTTTGCCGCAGGTTTGCGGCAAAGGAAGTTGTGGCGATTCTTCACGCACAGGACGGTGGATGGCATTGACCACCAGTTTGTGTGCAAGACGCATATGTTATGATCACAATCAACCATGACTTTGATTCGAGTTCAAGGCTCAGCCAGCATGCCACCCTGTACTCAATAATGAGCAACGCTTCAAATCTTCTCTGGCTGTTTGAAAAGGCAATGGGTCAAGCATTCTGGACAAGTTGCCAAGATTCTTGCACCCCAAGCAAAAGAGAGGTCGCCTGAGTCTTGCTCCATAGCATGTGCTTGAATGCTTACAATCGAGGTGTGTATTGTTGGCCCTGGCAAAATGGTTGAGCTGCCAAGCATCATGTTGGAGGCCACATGATTTACTTGATTCAGCACTAAGACTGGATGTTGCTTAAGGTCAAGGTCCTAAGGTGGGGAAGTACAAGAGAGGGCAGCAAACAGTCAAACCGCACTATCAAATCCAACAAATGGATAATTGCACATCAGCAAAGGCCAAATTCTTTCTATGTGCCTAGCACCACTAGTTTGTCTCGGTTGGATTGCTGGATTGCTTTGGGGCTGAGTTTGAATTGAAGGAGCAGATAAGCCAGCTGTCACAGTTAATTGAACTGACTGGCCAAAGTAGAAGCACTGCCTGCAGAAGTCAGAAATGCCACGTTTGCCAGCTGCCAGAATCAACTTGAAGCTCTGCTGGTTTTGTTCTTGATTTTCCGTTCCGACTTGCATCGTGTCCTTCGGCAGCCTTTTGTAAGCCGAAAGGTATGACTTCAAGACCAGCTCTCAACGATCATGGAGCAACGGATGCTGCATGTGCCTGGCAAAACACATTTCAGCATGGGGGCTGCAATTTCTTGTAGGCCCACCAAGCAGGCAGCATTTCCCGGCAAGCCCGCAGTATCCTTGGCTGTGGCAGCAGTTGCATCGAGCTTTCCAAGGAAAGCGGGCCGCATGTGTAGATCTGCCAAGCGTCAAGAACAGACACTCGCGTCAACGGCGGACTTTTCGGCCCTTTGCAACTTGGGCCCACATCCGTCGGCTCAGGAAGTGCAGGACGAGCTAGAAGCGCCTGGTTGGCCGACTCTGCCCTTGAAAGGGATCTTGACCGCGCTGACGAAGAAGAAGCGCGATGATGTTGTTTCTAGGGTGCTCGAGATACTTCTGACGGGGCAAGTGCCATTGGATGTCAAGGCTGTAACCGCCGCAATGACTGTTTGTTCAAAGATCCGGGCCTGGCACAATGCTTGCTTGCTCCTCTCGGCAATGCCTGCTGCCCAGGTGCAAGCCGATGTGGTCAGTTTCAACGCCACCATGACTGCTTGTGCCAAGGGAGGACAGTGGCAGAGAGCCCTTTCAATATTTTTGGAAATGCCCGATGTAAAGTTGCAAGCTGATGTCGTCAGCTTTACCGCCGCAATCAGTGCTTGCGAGAAAGGCGAGCAATGGCAGCAGGCATTGGCAGTGTTTTGGGCCATGTTTGCAGCAAAGGTGCCATCCAACGTGATCAGCTTCAGTGCCGCCATTAACGCCTGTGCCAAAGTCGGGCAATGGCAGCAGGCGGTGGCTTTGCTTTTGGCAATGCCTGGGTCACAGGTGCAAGCTGATGTTGTCAGCTTGAATTCAGCTATCAGCGCTTGCGAAAAAGGCGGGCAATGGCAGCCGGCGTTAGCCCTGTTATTTCTGATGCCAAAAGCAAAGGTGAACGCCAATGTTGTCAGCTTCAATGCAGCTATCAGTGCTTGCGAGAAATGTGGGCAATGGCAACGAGCGTTGGCTTTGTTTCAGAAATTGTTTGGCCCTAAGGTTTAT